CCGCGCAACCAGTTTGCGCAACCCAAAAATTGCTGAATGTGAAGCTTCTCCCAGAGCGGGGGAAAGTCAATCACCGCCTGACAACGCTCTTCGTCAGGCGAACTCCCGTCCCGCCCAATGTTGTGTCCCAGGAGCTTGCCTTTGGAGACACAAACTTCGGCCTTGCTGATTCCAAAGGAGAAGCCAAACAAGATTGACTTATCTAGGAAACCCTCTAAGGAAACGAGGTGGTCGAGGAGGTGCGGGCACGCTTTAGGGTGCCGGGCGCGCATATCTGCCGCGAGCTTCTCATAATAATAGTCCGTTGGAGGCTCTTCGATCATCTTCTCGATGTCCCAGCTCTCCACGATATGATAGCTCGGGCAGCGCGCCGTATCGACCGCGTCTGCTGGGCGCACAGCATCACTTGCGCCTCTTCCAGCCGTGGCCGATCCCTCACGCCAGCCAGCCCAGCGTGGCCCCTTGCGCGTCCTAAAGACCGCGAGGCGTTCGGTGACGGGAACTTCATCGCTACACGCAACGCTTTCCGCCACACGCAAATCCCTCGTGTCCCAGAGACGCCACGCCTCACCTACGCGCTGAAGCAAGCACGTTTCGTAAGGCGCCTTCTCGACCGCCAGGGTCCCAAGGTCTTGCTGCGCAGGGCGCCTACCCCACACAGACGCGTAACCACCTGGCGCCTCCCACCAGCTGTCGACGCTTGGAAGGTGGTCCAAGCAAGAAAGCACTCCAGGCTCCTCAACGGGGCGCCCAACTGGGCCGCTCCCGCCCCACACCGAAGCGAGAACAGTCACCGCAGCAAGGACCGATAGCACACTGTCACCGATCCTGGCGCCGGTACGCAGCCGCCCAAAGGACCGCGCACACGAGGAACAACCTTGGAAGCTTCTTGCCGCGGCCCTGGACGCGGACCCGCAAGCAAAGCACGGGTCGTGGCCAACCGAGGCAACGGCGACCCCACAATCCGCACATGCCTGCGGAGACGGCTCCGACTCGAAAACCGTCTCAACCGCGCCACAGCCACAGGCCGCAGTGCTTACGAGGCCGGAACGCACTTCCGCAACAACCTCGCCCGGCTGGAGAGAGTGATCGCACTCTTGGGCTGCGAGCAACACAAACCCCTTTCCCTCTCCTGTGGGCCAAAGGCCTGGTACGGCCTCGACCCCGCATTCCACCGGAAGCACTACCTCGGACAGGGATCCCTCTGCGGAGACTCCTTGCTCCCGCACGACAGGCACCAGCACCCCGTCGCCTGGCGAGAGCTCGAGAGGCTCTTCCCCGTCGTAGCGGAGGAGCTCCCGGCTTCCGCCCCCAGGCTCGGTGCATGACGCGTCGTCCAGGCTCGACAACCGCGCTTCGAAGGCGTAGGCCCTGTCCTTCCGGGTCTTGCTGTGATCCTCGCACCTGGGCATCCTGATTCCCAGCGTGTCGAGGACGTGAAAGTCGGGACCCGGCCTGAAGCCCAGGCCCATCCTTCCGGCGCAGTCCAACGCTCTGCCGCCGAGGATCAGTCCGTGCCAATCGGACGTCCCCCTGGCTGCGATTTTGCATCGCACGAAAATTTCAGTGTTGGGGCGACAGTCGTCCGCCGTCCTGCCTTCCAGCAGCGTGACGCGCAAGACTGCTGCCCCCTTCAGAGGAACGGGGGCTCCCGAAGCGATGCCATGCACATATTCGGGGTGGACCCACTTCTCGAGTCTCACGACCGGGAAGCCGGGATCTTCGGTGCCGATCCCCAGCTCCGCAGCCCGGTTCATCATGCCCACCACGAGTTCCTCCGTCACGTGGTTTGCGCCAGCGCATCCGTCGAGCATGCACTCGACCTTACGGTCGAGCACCTGGACTACCGTTCTGTACTGGTAGCCTCCTGGCTCATTGTCCGCCAGGTTCCACCAGTCCTTCGGCAGATCGTCCAGGGTGGCGAACTTGTCCCGCCCACCCTTGCTCAACGGAAGCGCGTGCTGCTGCACCGCGGCGCATCCTGCGGCTCCTGAGACGCCTGCCTGGACGCCTGAGCTGCCTATCTGGACGCTGAACGCGGCGAAGGGGTTGGACATGGAAGCCCCGGAGGGCGCGGCCCAGTTGGCAGGCAAGGCCGGCGTCCCTCCTGAGGTTGTCAGGTTGTGCACCATGTCGCAGCTGGCCCCCTTCTTGCACGACCCATTCTTGGAGAAAAAGGGGCAAACAGTGCCTGGTGGCTTTGCCGCGCCTTTGGCCGCAGCCTTAGGCTTAGCGCTGGCCTTTGCCTTGCCACCTCCCTTCCCTTTGCCCTTGCCTTTCGTCGTAGCAAAGGTTTGGTCACCCTTCTTGGCCGCGAGAGCTTTTCTGCGAAGCTCCTTGTCGTGGCTGAACGGGCAGGCATCCCCTTTCGGGCAATTCCCGTGGTCGCGAAAGTGGAAGCAGATCTTCTTGTCCGCTCCTTTGCCAGCTCCCTTCGACGCAGCGGCAAACGTCTGATCCGCGCCAGCCTTGGCCGCGGCAGCTGCTCCCTTCGCAGCAGCCTTAGCGGCGGCCTTGAGGCTCCGAATCTCCTTCTGAGCCTCGGCTAGCGCGACCGACGGGTCCGCGCTTGGAGAGCCGGTCGTGGAGTACACAGAGTGGGAAACAGCACGGTGCGCTGCTTCCCTCTGTTCGTACTCCAAGACGACTTTGTGGCTCTCCTCCCAAGTCTGCGGCCCTCTCAGCCCGCCGTCCTTGGGATCGCCGGGCCACAACCGCTTGTCGTTACGTATCTCCTTTTGGAGATACGGGGGCATCTTGCGGAGGTACGAGAGATACAACTCTCGTGGGGTCTTCCCAAGACCCACCGCCTCAAGGTCCGCGATCGACGCCTCAAACAAAGGCTCGAATTGGTGGCCTGTGAGCTTGCCCTTAGCGAGGGAGGCATGCTCACCATCCACGCGGACTTCTCTTTCCTCCCGCGATTCCCCGAACATCAAGTGCTTGTTCTTGATGCGGTCGTACACTGCCTGTGGGTCGGAGAGAACCTCTCCCGACTTCCATGCTGCGCGGTAGGCGTTCGTGTACGTCTTCATGCGCGAGCCGCGGCAGCGCCCGCGTAGCGCTAGCAGCTTTTCGCGCGCACTCATACCGCGACAGTTGTTAGCCAGCGCGCAGACGTCCTCGAACTCCTCGTAGAACAGGACAACGTCTCGCGCGTCCGACTTGTCGTCGGTCAGCGTCGGCCACGTGAGGTCAGTTTTGACCGTCGTTATGGAGCTTTGCCCGCCCCTCTGCGCTAACGCTTCTTTCAGCGCTTCAGTTTGGGCGGCGAGTGCGGCGGCGAAATCGCCCGCCGGGTTTTGGGACCCGGTCTGCGAACCTCCGCCGTCTGAACCTCGCTTCAGGGCTTCTATCTCCATCTCCAGCGCCGCGAGCTTTGCGCGCAAAGGGGAATCGCCGTCCGTCGCGCCCAGGTCACGGGCCGCGGAAGGACCACCTGCAGCCTCGGCAGTGTGCAAACCTCCACGGTCCAAACTTACCCCCAACCCACTTGCAGTCGCAGGCTGTGGGAGCCCTGGGGAACGCGGCCCCACGGCTTCAACTGGCACATCGGACGGAGAGCTCCAAACCTTCTCTTGGCTCGAGCTTTCTTTTCCCCCAAGCGCGAGGATAAGCTCCCCGATGCATTGGATTTCACGCTGAATCTCCTCTGCGTCTTCGGGGTCCTCGCCACCGCGCAAAGCCGCGACCGAGAACCTGGTCCGCAGCCGACGGACCATCTTTGTCGGATGCCAGTCCCCGCCTATCTTCGAGAACTCATCCGCAAGGAGGGTGGCTTTGGTGCTTAAGGCGTCAAGGTCACGGGAGCTCACCGTGACTCCATGCGCTTTGAGCGCGAGGACAATCCGCGAAACGCGCGTCAAGTAGTCCGCGACCGGTTCTTGGTCTGGACGGAAAATCGCGCGCAGCTCCGCCTGCAAGCCCTCTGCGGTGCCTGGCACTGAACCTGCTGTCGACGGCGGACCGGACGGTCCCGCCGGGCGGGACCCTGGTGCCGTAGCAGGGACATAGGCAGCACCGGTAGGGACCATGGCCAGCTCCCTAGCCGCGGCGCTGACGTCCACCCGCGGCGGACTGTCGCCTCCAGCGCCCGAGGCCTCAGGGACTAGCTCGGAGTCCTCTTCTTCTTCCTCTTCCTCCTCGTCCTCGCCTTCGGCGTCGTGGAGGAACTTCATGACCTTTCGCCAGAGAGCCGCCTCCTGCTCTGGCGTTGTGCTAACCCCATCCCGCTTGGACAACGGACGACTGCCGGTCTCCCTACGCCACTTAAGCCAAGCGACGTAGCTCATCCGCTCGGGATAGGGAACGTCACCACCCTCGATCGCTTCGAGGAGGGTGACGCCCTCGGCCTGACCTGCAACCTCTGCGGACATCGCCGCGCCTTGGTTAGCAGGCCGCAGGCGTGGCACACGAAGCGCCGCGCCTTGGTTAACAGGCCGCAAGCGTGGCACACAGTCCACGCGTCCAGGTCACGGACCGCGACAGACAAGCAAAGCAATGCTTGCCCACTCGGGCCGTAGGCACAAGAGCTGTACGTTTCCCAGAACAGCCCCCAATTGTGAAGTCGACCAGCACTGGACTTGCACTAAGCCAATGCAATCACAGCCCGGTCACGCTGTTTTACGACTTCGCGAGTTCAAGCACTTGTGCAGCTACGCCTGAGTGCGTCCGGTCGGACCGCACAGCAACCTAAGAGCTACTGTACGAAACTACCGTGCTCAAAGGCACAAGCTCGGTACTTGAGCCAAAATATTGGCATTGTTACGAATTGCAAAACTACACATGCAAGGGAAAACAACACGCTGCACTAGCACTAAGCAAGCACTCCATGCATGCTTTGACCTGCTCACAATGCGTATGTGTATGTGTATGTATATGTTTATGCGTATGTGTATATTTTTATCTGTATGTATCTATACACGTTAAAAAGCCGTATTAACACATGGATGTTTCTCTGTGTGTTCAATTACGAACAAAGAGCACGCAGAGTCTTTAAGGATGCCGAGGGCCAGCTTGTGCAGCCCAAGCTGAAGCCACGCTCTTATTGGTCCATCGCAACTCGCCCCAAAGGTCAAACATGATGGGTTTGCAGATCGTTTCTTCCTCTTTGGGTTGTGCCAGTGCCATCTGCTTGCTTGGACATACCCGTCTCAAATGTGTTTTGGGGCTGTCGGCTGTCGTGAGCTGGAAAATCTGTTTCTTCCACCTCTTGTATGGTTGTGCTGGATTTCAGCATTGGTGCCCCACCAAACCATCTCGACCTCGACTCACCACGACTAATGAATTTGCTTCTGCATCCAGGTTCAGTGCTCTTTTGGGTGAAGCTTCGAACGCCTGGTTCCATGCACTTGCAGGCACTTGCAGGCACTTGCAGGCTGAGGCTTCCTGCTGAGGCCATCAGCATGGTGTCCATCGCGGTCTTCGTCATCTGTGTGAACCTTCCTCGACCCTCTGTCATCCTGGTGGCGCAGCTGCTCCTTGTTTTCAATCTCGATCCGGTTTGGGCCCGGGCTGTTTTGTAGGGAGCAGCAGGGATGTACGCTGATGTACGGTGATGTACGGTTTCATGATGTTCCACGAACCTAAGATTCAATGGAATTCTGCTGCCCTTCTACTGCATCTCATTGTTGCTCTGCCTCACGGACAACACGTTCATGGCCGATGCGCCACAGAGCCCATGGCCCAGACCTCTCCTTCAAGGGCTCACCCTACCCACTCGTCGCGGAATTTCTCGCTTTGAAGTCAGATCGCACCTCTAAGGCTTGTTTGCCAACGTGTGTCTCTACGCATCAGTGACGGCCGCATGGCAGCACCAGGCAGCAACACAGTGTTACCACACGTGTTCAGCGGAGTATGCAAAGCTCCGGGTATTCTTCGGCTTCTCGTAAGCGACCAAGAAAATAGGAAAGGCAGTGCGAGCAAGTGAAGAGCAAGTTGCCGGTGCCCCAGGTGGCATTCATCCTGGCCTGGCGAGTGGTGGTCCTGAAAATGGCAATGCTGTTCTTTCTGATCACAGGCCTCTTCAGAACTCTATTCCGACCAGGTCTTGGAATCGTAAACTACAGCTTGCTCTGGCACATGCTCAATATGCTCATCATGCTCTCCAGCTCGGCGAGTGGCCATTTGTTGTTGAGACATCTAGCGGCATCTAGTGCAGGTGACGAAATGGTTGATATAGCCGGCCCGGTACTCCTTGTGGCCACGTGCCTTGCAGCGCTGTCCATGTTACCCGGAATGAGTTAAAGTGCAGTCATACAGAGGTGAAGGAACATGTGAGCATCAAACAAAACTACTGTAGATCTAACCTTGTTTTGACGTTGCATCTCGGCCGTGAAAGAAACGTCACTCCAATCGGGTTTAGGGTATTCAAGGGGCGCCAGCGGGCCTGGTCCGCGATAGGCGTAGAGTTCCTTTGGAGAGCGTGCCGCGTTAAGACAAAACCTGGGCACGCAGATTCGTGCAAGTTTGTGCGATACTGGTGCAAGCCTATTCTTCACAGATGATAATGGATAACTGAGGTTGGCAGTCGGGCGGTATGCCCACGTCACCGGCGGGAAAGCTGCATCTCGACTGTGGTTTGGGTGGGCATAATGGTAGCAGGGCTTTCTGCGCAGAGAGATTGGACAGAAAGCTTGCGCAGACAATCCTTGTAAGTCCTTTGTGAGTCTTTCTTGTTTTCTTTCGGGTCTGTTGTTTGGCCATTTTCCTTGGATTCTTTTGAGGGCCTAGAAAACCTCCTTTCCGCTTATATTTTTGGGAGGACATCCCTTGTTTCGAAAACCGCCATGTCCTCCATATTGCGATGGAAAGAACCGTTGTTTCCTCTAATCCAGGTTCCGACGTAGGATCCTGGGTTCCAACTTGGATTTGAGCGGGGCTTCAAGGAAAGCTTCCAGATGGACAGCTACAAGCAAAAAGAACCTCAAGACATCTAGTTGAGCATCGAATCATGGCATCCTTGTCATGGAACCCCTCCTCCCTGCCAGCAAGTTGCCACAAGTTCATCGACAAGAACATGCTTGCTTGGCATCGTTGCATCTTCGTCAATGAGCTTGCAAGGGCCGGCTTCACGACCCCACAACCCCCCATTCTTGCTTTAATCGATCATTCCCTTTGGTTTAAAAATTTCGCAGGCCTGTCGAACCCGCTAATTGCCGCCAGTTCTGTGTCTTCGTCAATGAACTTGCAGATGGAGTGGAGCTGCGAAGGCATGCCCCGACCATTCGTTCGCACCCCCTCCCCCACCCGAGCGGCTTTCTTCAGCTTGTGCGATCCCTACGCCAGCAATGTACACTCCCAAGCCCTCTGGCTTTCTGGGTTGTATGAGCCCGTGCCTGCTGACCTCAAACAGCTTCGTCCGATCATTCATCCTTCGATCTTTCTGTTCAGTCTACCCCTAAATCGCAACCTCCGCCACTGTTCCAGGAAACCTGTTGTTGAGGTGGGGGTTGGCCCGAGGTTCCCACGCCAAATGCGGATGTTTTGTACAACCCTCGTTTGTTACCGCACATTCGTCCGGCTTGAATCCGGGCTCAACAGGTGAAAAGGAAGGTGCCCGTCGATAGAAGGCTTTCCCATCAAACCGCCATCATAGCGGACATGGAGGCTTTCGGCTGAGGCTGTCGGGCGGAATGTGCTTTCTGCCCCGCCCAAATGCCAACAGTTTGGATTGGATTCGGGGGCTTCTTTGGGTTTGCACCCGGCGGAACGGACTGACTTGCACTGTTTGCAGATTGTGGACGTTTGCACTTACAGTACTGGGTTCAGCTAAGGACTTCCGAGTCCTAATGCCACTATCGGTCGCTAGAGCCGAAAATTCCAAAACAAAGCCGAATACCTAATCTCCGATGCCCCAGGCCAAGGGCTACGACTCGTCTTGCGAAGGACAGGCCTTCTGTTTTGGGAGCAATGGTAACCCACCACCCCATGATTCATCGACACTGTGGTCGTAAGTATGAGTCGGTGATGTGATCTCGACGAGACCCTGCCCTTGAAATTCACAAGGATCTTTTTCGACCACGTCCGTTGACAATTCATCGCCCTCAGACGCAGAAGATTTCACCACTTGCGTGGGAAATGCTCGCATGTAAAGACGGCATTTCTGATGCACCAGAAGTAGATTGTGAGAGTACCAGCAGAATTGCGTCAACTAAAAGTTGTCAGTTCACGAGATGCTCTGTATTCACAGCTCTGGCAGTCAACAGAAGGACTGTGCAGAAATTGGACGCATGTTTTCAAGCCGCGCATGAAGTGCACAGCGGGCGTGAGATGAGCTGGGCGGGAGGTTGGCCCTGGTGGCACATGTAGAGATGGGCCCCTGCCTTCCTCAGCGAACTTGCCCGAGTCGAGATGACGTGCAGCATTCCGAGAGGTCTGGTGCTGGCACGGGCAAAAAAGTGAGCAGATAGCTACGTCTTCAAAGTGTGCTAAGTACATTTTTTTGGGGAAGCGCCTCCCCATTAAACCTGACAGGTGCTCTCGGCGGCGAGGGAAGGCGGGGGTGAAGGGTGCTGTCGATCTGAGTCGACTTGAGTTCACATGGTTGCACATTCCGCTTCGTTCTGTTCCATGAGCGACGAGCATTCATCTGGGAAGCTGAGAAGGTAAGCTTGATGACCGTGTAGTATCCAAGATCCAAAAGAAGCTCAACTGCTGAACAGGAAGTCAGACGTTCGGCTACGGCTATCGCTGGTCGCAGATCGGCTGGAGAATGCAGTCCGCGCCCATGCTATTTGTGCAGGGTATATTGCTTCAGTTAAGTGTACTTAGTCTACTTCAATCGCATCAAACTGGGATGGTCTGACGTCAGGCACTGTCACAGTGGTCTGACCGGAGGTCGGATGCAGGCAGCTGAGGGTCCTACATATTTTTCACATATAAAACTCTAAACTCATACACTACATTTTCTTCTTCGGGCACCTAGGATAAGGCTCGCTGGTGAGCCCACTGGTCCATGTGGTCCATGCAGTCCTTTTCGGGGTGCACGAGAGCCTCCGGCCTAGAGTGACAGAGCTACACAGCTAAGTCGAGAGCGATGTTGTGAGGGCCACCCCGCGTCTATTCGTGTGGAGTCGCGCAGATGCCAAACAAATTAGCCGAAAAAAGCCTGACAAACCCATGCGAAACCTCACACTCCCAAATCCGCCCCCTCCGAAGCCTTCCGAAAACCACTGAAGTGCCCAAGCTAAAAGGGACATGTTGGAGTCTCAAGCCGCCTCATTCCGCAGGATTCCGCAGGCCTTTCGACAACAGCCTTGAGCCCAAGAAAAGGAAGACCAGCCCAGCGAACCAAATTTCGGCCTCAGGCTACTCTACTTGTTGCCACCTTTGCAGAATCATTCCATTCCTACCGAAGATTTCCGAGTCGAGTTGGGGATGGATGCAGCCGCGCTGCGGCGGCGACTGGCTCAGCGCCGTGGGCGCAGCCGAACGGAAGATGCGAGGGCATCGAAACAAGCGGTGCCTTGGCTGAGGGGTCAATTGATCATTGCACATGGGAACTTGTACTGTTTTTTTTTGTCAGCTTGTGAGCCTCCGCAGCTCTCATCTCCGCACACTGCTCACTGCTTGAAAGACCCTGCAGGTGCCCGTCCCTGTCACGGTGCACATCTACGACGTGACTGGAAACGGTGCAGTGCAGCAGCTTAACCAGCCTCCTGGACGATCTTGAATGTTGTAAGAGGATTCATAGGGCTCATGGATGCTCGGCACTTCAAGGCAACTACAGGCAACATTGTTGGAAGCCAAGAAAGCATGGCCCAAGGGTTTTCCGGGCAGTCGGCACTGGTGCCTTCCACGCAGGCGCGGGCTGGAATTTTCACGACTGGAGACCGCTTTTTGAAAACCCTAAACACCTCGCTTGGTCGTGGCAGCTGGAGGTACATTGACTTCCTGTGTGTGTGTGTGTGTGGCAAAGCGTCGAACAAACAGCTTTTCTGGCCTGGGGGACAGTGCCGAGAGTTGATCTACTGTCGTTTGATTTCAGGTGTGGAAGTCTATGGTCGGGAGTACAGCTTCGGGTACAGCGATGACGGAGGCTTTCATGAACCTGTTGGCAAAAGGCTGTGCTTGAAAGAGGAGATCTTGAACCATGAGTTTGCATACGGCCAGCTTTGACTGCGGGCTCAGGCTCTGGGATCTTCGACTGTGAGCCCAAGGACCGGGATTGCTGAAACTGGCAATGGCTGGCAGATGGTTGCTAAGCAACAAACAACTTGAAACCGAATGCAGGAGTGCAGCAGTCACACTTACCGCGAGGCCGTCGACGTGGGTTCTACCAGGCTCAGTGCGGACGAGGCCCCCTCCCCCCTCTGACTGAAGAGAGAAGTATTATAAAGGCTCACCGCAGTCTCTTCCCTGCGTCCTCCGTTTGAAACAGATTGGCAACTTTTTGCAACTTTGCGTTCGGGTCCATGGTCCAGGTCGCTGCGGTGCTCGACTGCATGGCCTCGGACTGGCCGGGCTGCGGCGGCCTGTCCCGAAAAAGGAGGATAAGGAGTGCTGAGCGGGTCTGTTCGCAATGCAGTGATTTCCGAGGATATGATCTCCTCAGGCGGAACTGCTGTAGCTTCTGCGATGCCCTGTGCATCGAGCTGGGCCAAAGCCTCAGTATCCCTGGCCTGCCCTAAAGCAGTGGCGATGCTCATTCGAGTTCAGACTTTGGTGTGCTGATCTTGGCATTGGGGCATCATCGTTTAGATGAGTTGCGTCGCTTCCCCAGCTAGACCTCTAGACCTAGCTCAGTTTGTAGGAGCTTCACCCCAAGGCGTTGGGCCGATGCCAACCTGGGTGGCCTGCCTTAGCTACTGAGGGATCTGAGGGGCTGGGCACATGACACAGCAGATGACACAGCAGATCATGTGGCATATCGTGGCATCTTGCAGGAGATCTTTTGACGGATTCGCCAAGGTCTCCAACCTTGCGGCCGCGGGCGCGTCCCTCAGCGATGCGGCGCTGGATCTGCGCCGACGAGCCGTTGAGGCCGGGTACTTCTAAGGCTTTCTGCCGCAGGATCTTGCCCGACTGGCGCCTGTTGCATGTTGCCTCGCATAATTAGGTGGGCGGAGACCTGCCTCTTCAGCCTCCTGCAGCGGAGGACCTTGCACCCTGGAGGAGTTGAGGTCAGACGGTGAATTGAGAAATGACTGCAGAGAACCTAGCAGACGCTCAACAATCACAATCGCCACTCCAATCCTGAGGCAGCTTGGGTTCAGCGTGCAGCCGAACAGGCCTTCAGGGATCTGGACGGGGGGGAGTGTCTGGCTTCTCTGCCCCATGTCAGACGTTGCTTCAGCTTCGTTCAGGAATGCACAGAGCTCAGGTCAAGATGCTGGATGAGGCGAATCAGTTCTCAAGCCGTGCGCAGGAGCTCGGTCCGGAGCACGCGGCATCCCGTAGCTGTCTGAGTTTCTGAGTATTCCCACTGTTCCCACTGTCTTTGAAAGGAATTGGCTGAAGAAGCTGGCAATCAGGCGGCCCTAGGATGAGCTGAGGTCTTGAACTCGTAAGGGTTCGTGCCTCAGTTCGCTTGCGAGGTGCGGGCTTTGGATGAATCCCACGGCCTGAGCCAGAAGGCAGGGCAGATCTAGGCATGTCTAGGCGCCCAGAGGTTCTGTCGCTCCAACCCATGTGAGGTGTAGTGTACGCAGTGCACGCTGTAGCAGCTTTGGTCCTTTGCTGGTCGTCTTTTCAGGCTGCTGCATTTGTGGAAGCCGCGGCCATCCGCAGCGGAGATGCAGAGTGCCTTGCGCGGAAGAGTAAGGAAGAGAGGTGTCAGCCCATGTTATTGCAGAGCAGTTGCAGTGCTTGTCAGCTTAGGCGCTCCCTTCGATCCTCCTTGCAGCAGCTCTGGGCTTCAGAGCCACGGTGCAGTCAATTGGGGCGTACTTTGCATATCGGATTCGGGCTAGAAATGGCGTTCTAGAGCCATGTCATTACTTGCACCTGACTTGAGGTCAATTGACAGCACCTCGGCTCCGCTTGGTCATTCTGCACAAGACATTCCTGAGCTTGTGTCAAGCTTGTGTCAGTCGCTTGGGAGTAGTCGGGCTCAGCATTCTTTCAAGCTATGCCCGAGGTCTGCTATGAGTGCAGGACTCACCTGCCAGGTGGTGCATGGAAGCCGCCGCGGACTCGACCGGCGGAACGTGGTCAGCAGAGAAAGATGATGAAAGATGAGATACCTGGTGCCTGGTGCCGCTGCCCAAAGCAGACGCAGAAGGTCAGTGACATTCAGCTGAAGGACGTGGTTCTCGCATTCGCTGCGATGCCGCGATGCTGCGATCGGTCGAGGAAGTGCTTCAGGACGTCGAGGGAAGGGCGAGGATAGGACAGCATGTCTGGAGAAGGAGCAGGAAGTCCAGGAGCTCACGCGCAGGCAAGGCTCAGGAAGTGACTCTTCCGCTGTGTTCTCCCAGGCTTCGAGGCCAAGCCAGGAAGCCAGCTAAATTCATTCATGGCTTCTGTGCACCAGGGGACCCATGGGCCCTGCAGTTCCGCCGTTCAGCCGTGCAGTGGAAGCGTGAAATTCACCCATTGCGAGATGCTGGCTGCAGGAAGAAGCGAACAAGTCTCATAAGCCAACCTGCTTTCTGCCAATGATCATTCTTGCTGCGTTTTCTTACAAAGCCCACTGTGGGCACAATATGAAGGCAATCAATGCCCCGCCCCCCGTCTGCGTGTTGCAGGTGTTCCTGGAGGCGCCATCCTTCAACCTGAAGATCACGACAGCAGCGCGGGGCTGAAGGGGTTGGGGCTGAGGAGTTCAAAATAAAGTTCGAGCCGTGTAGGAGTCGTGTACCGCGGGTTAAGAGGGTCTGTGAGCAGACAGAGGGTAAGCATATTCAGTCTTCCACAAACCGGGGTGGCTTGGGCGAGTGTGAACCACTTTGGGGTCTTTCTGGGGTCCTCCACGCCCTAACGAGCGAAAGAGCGGCAGTGAGAGTGAGCGAGAGAGAGAGAGTTTCGCAGGTCAATTTTGGTTTCGCTTTGGCATCGTTTGCTACTATCTTCTCCGCGACCAGGCTTCTTATAGCCTCCAAACGTTCTTAGCTCCGAGAGGCCAATCCCGCTTCCCTTGTCCACCTGCCCCGTATCTGGAACTTGATCCTGGCAATCCACTCAACAAGTTTCTCGTCTCGACCGAATCGGGTGACCATGCTGTCGACAAATCTATTTGTTTGGGGCGAGGTCGAGACAGAGTGTCGGGATGTTGCAGCTGGTAACAGTTCGCATAAGTTCATGGATTGGCGTTGGTGCGAGGCCCTGCGTTTGTCTCCTGCAGCTCCTCTCCTTCTCGGAGAAGGTCAGTTGGTTCCTTTGGAAAGGCCAAGAACCAAAAACACCATCAAACAGCACAAAACAGCACCCTAGCAACAGCAAAAGCAACCCTTGCATGAGCATCATCGTTATTGGCACTGGCGGCAACAGCAAGGCCAGCGGCTCCCTTGCCGCTGGAAAACAATTTCTTTATACATGTATATGTACATATACTAGCATGTATATATATATATATGCATGTATGGAAGCAGCTTTCGTAGTGATACGAAGTGATAATTGCAAGGCTTTTATTGTTTAGAGTGTTTCTGCTTGCGCTAAACACGCCTTTTTGGCTCTCTCGCTCTCTCTCGCTCTCTCTCGCTCTCTCTCTCTCTCTCTCTCTCTCTCGCTCTCTCTCTCTCTCTCTCTCTCCCTGTCTCTCTCTCTCTCTCTTTCTGCTGTCCCCTCCGCATGCCCGCCCGGACAAGGGCACTTGCGGGAAACACTGTAAATGGAGCTGTTTCGAGGGCAGGTCAACCCTAACACGATCAACCACATGACCACAATCTTTGAGCTGAGAAGGCCATGTACAGCCCTGGCATTTGAGTGTCTGCTTTGCCGCCAGCTGCGACATGGGCACGCCGACCAGCGTGGATGCCTGGGAGTCCGCACGAAGCTGTGGCTTGGCTGCTGTGGGTGGGGGGGTGGCAGTGGGGGCTGTCCAGGGCTGCCGGCTTGCTTCACGGTGTTAATGCTGATGCGTGCTGCAGGCCTCTTGCCGTTGAGACCCGACTGTAGTACCAAGACCTTCAACCCTTTTCCTCAATGCCCTGCAAGCTCCGAGTTTTAGCATGGCACTGTGACGCCTCCTCCGAGTCTGCAAAACACAAAAGCTGTCAAGGGGTGATGGCGATAAAACGCATGGGAGGTCATAGCTACAGGATTTCGGAGGCTGAAAGGTTCAACCCTCTTTGAAGTGGACTCTTGATGAGGTATGCCAGGTGTGCCGCAGAAGTGGGCTGAGGTGGGTACAGGGGAGCTTGGTTGCGTGGAGTCCTGTTTTTGCAGCTAGAGCTTCAGAGCGTCGAGCTACAGTGTTGCCCGAACAGATCTAAGCAGGGCCCATTGAGACGTTCGTCAGGCTGGCCATTCCCAGGGCCCCTCGCCGCTTGCAAAGGAGCTCAAGGAGGTAGGCCACGAACATGATAGCCTGCAATTGCCAGTTGTCACCACGCTTTGGTCTGGGAACCAGTTGCCTTGGATTTGCTTGATGCCTGCGCCAGTTGCGGCGTCTTTCCAACCCACGCGAGCCTCATCCTTAGCGGAACCTGCTTCTTTGGTTAGTAAGCCTCGACTTGCTCAAGCAATGTTGAGTATGCATTCTGCTTTTTGCATTCTGTTGAATTCTGTTGAGCAAGATGGGGCAAGACGCGCATCATGTTGGCAGTACAGGCTTCTGTAAAGAGCGAGCAAGGCCGTTTATCCACTCAAGACTCCCTGTACAAAGCTACGGCTTGAGGCCAGCCCTTGCAGGCAGAATGGTCGAGTGAGTCTAATCCTTTGTTACTGATGTGTCAGCTAAGTAGCTGGCAGTACGCATGCTGTTGATCTACGATATGAAATTTCGCATTGGCTTCGAGTGCTTAGTTGTTGCCAGAACTTTAATGTAAACATGTATACATGTGTATGCATGTATCTATATATACATACTTGTGGCCTGAATGGTGTAGCCGAGAAGGGTTGGGTGGGCTCTGCCCATGTCGTTCGTGATTCACGTCGCCCTGCTGAGCGGCCGGCAGACATCCCTGACGGCACTCACTGCCGAGACTACTGTCCAGGACAGCAATGCAGCTAATCCAATCAACAGAGGCTGACAGGAGTGCATGGTGTTAATCATCGGTTTTCCGCAGGGTTGTTCTGCAATTGCACCCGCAGATTCGAGGTCGTTCTGTGAAAATGCAAGGCTGAATGTACCGAGAATCCTGGCATCCGTACAAAACGACGACAACAATGAAAGATCCTTGAGGAGCTTCACTCGTTCCCGTGAGCGAAGTGAGCGTTGCAAGCTGTGGGGGTAAGGCCGAGGGCTGAGGAGGGCTTATCCCCTCCTAGCGGATTGTCCTGCGACAGAAGCCTGCGGCGAAGCATCCGCAATTGCAAACGATTGCCTGCGCCGCCTCGGCAGCTGGGTTGGCCTAACGCGTGGTGCAGCGTGTGCGCCGCAGACCAACGACAGCCAAATTCATACGTGCTGCAGGCTAGGATAGGCTAGGGTCAGGGGCAAGGCCTCGTGTGGCGTCGGAGGTTTCCAAAGGGGCAGGGGTGTTCGAAGGCAGGTGTTTGGTGTTTCAAGGCAGGTCTGAGGGTGACCCCAGGTAGGGTCCGGTCGTTTGGTTTTTCTATTCATTTGTTGTGTTTTTGTGCGTGGGCCAGATGCCTCTGGGCGAGGCGAACTACTGGGTGGGGATGGATCGCCTGGGGGAGCTCGTGGTTGGAGCCGAATGCCCAAATCCTAACTGAAGAGGCAGGCCCAAAATGAAGCGTGGGAGGCTTAGAAGGATTGATCAGGCAAGCAAGCCCTATGGGGAGGGACATGGGCCAAGCCGCGCAAAACACCCCTTCAGAAAAAAGACAGGGAGGGTTTCAAGAGGACGGAAGTCATACTCAATTGTTTTTTTTTTTTTTTTTTTTTTCCGCTCTTCAATCTCGCCAGTGCGCCTGAGGAAGAGAAGTGAGGACACCTCCTGAGACTGAATCTAGCAATTCTTCGAGATGCCATAGATGAATGCAGAGCGAAATGCAGATGAACACGTACACCTCAAAGCGGAATGCTGTGGAAAGTCGAGACACAGACCACAGTTTCCAAACGTCTGCGGCAAGTGCTGAGCATCTTGTTGAATTCTGCATGTACTGATGGGAGGAGCTGAAGCAGAGAGCACAGCAGGACCCTGCACTCCGCTCATGGCTAAAGTGCTTGACATGTGCTTGGCTAGCGTAAAGAGCAACAACTACACTCTTGAGAAACTTCCCTGAGATCTGAGACTCCATTGCAGGCGCTCCATGTCACCATCGCCAGCCTCAGCGGAACAGGAGTGGATGCATGGCTGTTGCTTGAAAGATCTTGAAAGCATGTGCGCATGGCCATGTTTCGCGTGCACACAATGGTTCATGCACGATCAGCAGACCCAGTGATTGTGCAGGAGGTTTGCTGCAACCGCTGCTGACACTCTCAGAAGCGGGCGTTTGCAGCGGCGACACTCTGCACGCCATCTGCTGTCTCGCCACGATGGCCCTTTGGGATGGAAGTTCTCCAAAGTTCCTTTTTTTGCCCTGCGTTCACATGTGTTCACAGACTTACTCAGCTGTATTCAGATGTATTCACAGATGTATTCACAGATGTATTCATAGATGTATTCATAGATGTATTCATAGATGTATTCCTGAATTCAGATGTATTCAGTACCCCAAGCAGTATCTTACGTCGGAGGCCTCGAGCCGTCGCTCATGTGCCTTTGCCTTGATCCGTGACGGCTCCGTAGTGGCTAGGCAGCAATCTGGAGGCCCAGTGCTTGCTAGCGTTTGCTGGCCCTATTTCGCGGGAACGGGAGCCGGCGGAGGGGAATGCTCCCAAGCATCAATCTTGTTTTTCTCAGCAGGGTTTTGTGTATTTGGTCTGGTTTGAGTGTGCATCCGATGCATCCGATGCATCCTCTGCAAGTCCTCAAAGCTGGTGACACGTTCTAAGGTGACATGGGGTGGGAGCAGAGACTGGTGCAGCAGCACCCTAAAAGAGCAGCTGAAGGACACTCCGGGCTGTGCTTTTTTGGTTGTCTTGGATGCTGCTGAGCGTTCCACGGCACACAAATGTAAAGCTAGGATGCGATTGCAGAGGCAGTATTGTCGTCAGAACCAAGTGCACGCCATCATGCTGATTCTTGATTGCAGGCAGGCGCAAGCTTTGTTCGGATCCACATTAGAATCATTAGAAGTTCTCTGGAGGAGGTTGTTGAGGTCCGAGCGAACATGGCCGCCTTTGCAGCTCTTCGCTGTGACGGTTCTGTGGTTTGTTGGGGGAGCAAGGCCTCAGGAGGCCGGGCATACCCCGTAGCAGACCCATGCAATCATGTCTGCCGTGGTGGCAATGTTATGGTGGTAAGTCGTATTTGCAAACCTGCAGGGGATGCCAGCGCCGTGCAGCACAAGCTCCGGAACGTATCTTGCACTGAACCATAAACCTTCCTTGGGGTCACTCCTTGTTCTGGATAGGCTGTGACATCTGTCGGTAGAGGTCCGTCAGATCCGTGCAACTGCACACGCCTTCGCTGCTCTTCTAGCTGATGGCAGCGTCGTCACCTGGGGTGATGGTGGAAATGGAGGAGACAGCCGCAAGGCTGGGAGAGCAAACAAAACAATAGAAGCGCGCAGCTTAAGAGCTCTCAAGAGCTCAAGAGAACGTTTTCAGAAGTGCACGCCTTGGCCCTGGCACCCGAAAGGTCGAGGATCGACTTGCGGGCGTTCGCTCTATCCGCGGCTCCTCCTCTGCTTTTGCGGCGCTCTGCGCGGACGGCCAAGTGGTAACATGGGGCAACGCAAGGCCAGGCGCTCTTTGCCACGTGTTTGTTCGTGGCCCATAGTTGCTTGAACAAACCAGTTGGCGGGTTAGTTTGGAGTTTCGCTGCAAATTGTGCATCCCGCGTCCGATCTTTCGACTTGCTTGGGGCGACATTGGTCGTTGCGGGCAAACACAGGATGAGCTCATCCATGCCTAACCCTGGCCTGGAGCAAGCTGTGCAGTGCTTCAAGACAAGTTCTCGATGTGACCGTTGTCACGTGTACGATCTATGTGGCTGGGCCATTCGACCATTGCCTTTCCAAGTGGCCGTCCCATCTTATCTTTTTCTGACTGCAACCCTGGAGGCAAGGTGGCGACAGCAAAAAAGCTGCTTGATTGCAACATATTTCAGCGGGCGGTCACCCGCAACCGGCCACGCCCCAAACCGACAAGAACTGAGGTATGGGTGTAAGGCCAGGGCACTTTTCCCTTTTCTGGGAATGGGGCGGGGGTCCAAAGAGAAAACAATGAAGAACAATAACCACAACAAGAACAAGAACAGTAACTATAAACAAGAACAGAAACTACAACAAGAACAGCCCTTTCACTTCACTTCCACCACTGCGGACGAATCTCGCATGTGTTTTTGAATCATTCCACTCTGTGTTGCATGTCTGGCAAGCGCTAACAAAACCTCAGCGTCACACTGCGTCAAAGTTGTCTGAGGGCTCAGCATCTCGTTGCCTGAGGGTGCAGAGGTCGGAACTGTTGGATAAAGTGGAATCATATGAGGGCCCTTGCATCTGCGAGTGAGTGATTCCTGTTCTCTTCGTTCCCGCCCACAGAAGAACGAAAGTACTGTCCTGCGGCTGGAAGAGGCCTCCAAACTCGCGGACTTTCTTTGCTAACAACAAAAATAGCAACAACGAAGCTCAACAGCAGCAACAGCAGCAACAACAACGGCATCAACAAGGTGCAGAAGAAGCAGCAGCAGCAGCAGCAGCAGCAGCAGCAGCAGCAGCAGCAGCAGCAGCATCATCATCATCATCATCACCAACAAGGTGCAGCACCAGCATCAACAAGGTGCAGCAGCCGCAGCAGCAGCCGCAGCAGCAGCAGCAACAACGAGAAGAAGAAGAAGAAGAAGAAGAAGAAGAAGAAGAAGAAGGAGGGGGAGAAGAAGAAGAAGAAGAAGAATAAGAAGAAGAAGAGCAGCAGCAGCAACAAAAAGAAGAACAGCAGCACCAAGAAGAACAGCAGCAACAAGAACAACAGCAGCAACAATAACAACAGCAACAAGAACAAGAAGAAGAGCAACGCCATCCTCATCATCATCGTCATCGTCATCGTCATCGTCATCAACAACAACAACAACAACAACACCAACAGCAACAGCAACAACAGCAACACGCCACCTCACCCTAGAAATAGGGTGAATAATGCAGCAAAACGACACCGCCCAAACTCAGTTTTCATTCGTTTGGGATGCTGCAGCGTTTGGTCTCGGGGAGTGTGGGGCTGCGCTGCAGCCCTGCAAAAAGGCCTAAATGAAGGCGCCAGGGACGAAATAGCCATTGGGGTGTCGGTAACAGGAAGGTTCCCGAGCGGAAGAAACAGAGCCTTCACTGACGCCTTCGAGGGGGTTGGCGGATACAAAAGTTGCTCCAACCTTTCACCACGGACTGCATCTGGCCCAAATTACATCACAAGCTGCACCGCTCCATGCCAAAAGCGAGAAAGGTTCAGGATGAGTTGAGGGACGTGGTCCAGATTCGCGCCACCTTCGGGGCCTTTGCGGCCCTCCGCGGGGATGGCCGAGTGGTCGCAGCTCGTAGTCAAAGTTCGACGAGTTTAAAGTCTTGAGGGATCCTTGGCCATGACCAGACTGCCAGAATTTCCTTGCTGGGGTTGCCTTTGTGTTTCACTACAAGTGGCATAGGCCCTTTGATGGCGTTTATCGATGTGTGTAAACTGGAACAGCAAACGTGGTGCATGTTGATCATGCTGCCAGTGCCAAAAGCAATGTAAGCCAGGCATGGGGAAGTCATCTTCACGGTGGCTCTGCGCCTTGGCTAACGCAGCTGTTGACAGTTGCAGCTGGAGATGCAGTAATGGCTGCTGGTTCTGCTGCTGGTTTTGCTGCTGGTTCTGCTGCTGGTTCGGCTGCTGGTTCTGCTGCTGCTGCTGCTGCTGCTGCTGCTGCTGCTGCTGCTGCTGCTGCATGTTGGAACTACCTGCTTGGACTGGAGCCGTATTTCTTGGGCATTTTGACCATGTCAAGCACCACCCATGGCCTAAAACCTTAAGCCCACCTTCGCACAGTCGTGCAGAGTCCAGGTCCCATTGCCCTCAGTGTCCAGCTCCCGCTTGGCCTTATGTGACGTAAGGCCGCCTCTGAACACGTGCAATCCAAAGATGACTGCCGCATACAGCTATTCTGATGTGAGCCCTCTCATGCGAGAATCTTACACCGGCTTTTTGTTTGCGTTTTGGTCCCTTTTGTTTTGTGTTCATGTGTGAGGTTTCTTATGAAGAAAGAGGAAATAGAGGTTGCCGACTAAAGAACAGAAAGAAGTGGTTTTTGTAAGAAGAAAGAGGATGGAATCAGAGAAAGCCCGAAATGCAGAAAGAAAGCAAGGAATACAAAAAGAAAAAAAACAACAGAGACGGAAAATGAAATCAACATAAGCGTTGGTTTCAGTATTTGAACCGTGCAAGCTTGCGTTGCCAAGAAGATCATGGCACGAAAGAGGACTGGCGATAAGGCACGTACGAATCCTTTACAAACCTGTCACGAGCGATAAGTGTGGGGGGCAAAGGGGGGCTCCAACGTTCAAGCGTGACAATAAGATCATACAGCGAAGGAAGACATGCGAGAATGCGCCTGCGAAGAGGTTTTCTAGGAAAATCCTGAGGAATTAGCGGGTTCTGGTTTGTCAACTAATACAGAGAAGACATATCAGAGGAATAGCAGTTTCCTTTCAAAGATAGGTATCGGAACCCAATGTCTTCCTGGGAACATAGACGATATAGAGGGTTGCCTAGGAACAATGTGCGATATACCGGAAAGAACCCTAGACCGACAAAGAAACAGTGACCAACACACAAACGACAAAAAACACCAAACGAAGTCCTCGCCCCTTGAAAATCACGGTCGGCTTCGACAGTTTCAGAAGCCAGGCAGCTGCGTGGCTCGGACTTCGCCTTCGCGGCCCTCCGGAAGGAGTGATTAGCACTGTTGGGGGCCTTGCATGGCCTTGCCCTGTAGGTTTAAGCATGTTTAAGCCACCTTCGCGTCCCTACCAAGCCCTTCTGCAGGATGGGCGGGTCGTGGCCTGGGGCAGTCCGTCGCACGGCGGTGCCCCTTGGCCGTGTTGTGACTGTGCTGTAGCCGCGCTGTGTCCTGCTCGGAAGCTGACGCGAAGTCGCTCCATACCGCCAAGGAAACAGGACGTGTTCAGGACCGGGAAGCATTGCAAAAGCCAATGCAAGGCAGTTTCGAAGCATTGTGATCGGGTGCTGGTTTCTGGTCCCAACCGCGAGCAGAGCAAGATGTAACTATGAGTTCAACTGCGACCTGAGTTTGCGTACTGAAAGTTCGAAGGACCAACTCATGGACGTGCGGCAGATTCGCTCGTCGCTTGGTGCCTTTGCGGCCCTGCGCGCAGACGGGACAGCGGCACGGTTGCCACATAAGGTGCAATTGTGTGCGATGTCACAGTCAACTTGTACGATGGCCTACTGCGTGTTGCGCATCGACTTCTGTCCCGAGGTGGTATCCTGGGGCCATGCGCACTATGGCGTTTCGGACTTCATACAGTATAAGCATTCTTATCATTCTTACCTTGCTTAAGAATGCTGTGTAGGTGGGATGTAGCTGTAACATGCGATGCCCACAGCCATCAGCCGCAGCCTTGGAGCTGTGGGAGGTGGCGACAGCTCTGCAGCACAAGGACAGCTGCGGGAGGTTCGCCTTCTTCGGCCTTCCGGTTTCGCCTTTGCAGCCTTGCGTGCCTTGGTGGACCTGGTCGGAGCAGGCTCGGAAGACCGAAGATCCTAGAAATCTGGATGTCAGGTGCTGATGGCAGTGTGGTCACTTGGGGCAACCGAGCACATGGTGGTGCAGCTTGGTACGATTTGGCATCTGCACGTGGAGGAGGCCTCATGTCCACAGGTTGGTCAACAATCTACACGAATCTACACCCGAGGACAGCCGAGCAGTTCAGCCGCAGTTGACGGGCGTCGTTGAGATTCGTGGATCGAGCTCTGCGCTTCGGCTGATGGGGGGGAGCCTGCGTCTCACCTTCTCCGAACGGCCCCCTTCTCGCCCGTCTTTCTATTTTTGCCATTTACAGGAAATCGAACAGCGACCAACCTTGTGTTGATCGGCCTGTGTTGAAGCTTTGTGAATCTATTCAGAGAGTTGCCGTCCTCCATAGGGCCCTTCTGCTGAGATTCCCTCACATGCTCCGAGATGCTCCCAACAGTGTCCAGGCATTCGCAGCGATGTGCGAGGACGGTCGCCTTGCAGCTTGGCCCAGCTTAGCAGCCAGGGGGGAACCGTTGAATATTCTTGGTATATACCTTCAATAGACTACACACATATATGTACATTACACATATACTTGGTCTGTCTATACTTGCATTGAATATACTTAAACGTGTGAGGCGCTTCCGCGTATGCGCCCTGGTGTCCTTACAGCTTCAGCAACCGTCTTGATTCTGCTCAGTTTTCTGAGGTCACATGGGGCAATCAAGCCACCGGGGGTGACAGCAGCGCTGTACAGAAGGAGCTGGCTGAGAGAAGTGCAGATACGTGAGCCGTGGCAGACTTGCGTCTGGAGTCTACGTCATACCTGGGTCCCCTGATCCTACCCAGTTTACTTCGTCCCAAGTTTCGATGATCTCCGGGGTCGGTTAGACTCCACGCGCTGCCAAACAGCTTGTGCAGAGATATTTGCACTCTCTAGGACCCCCGGAAGATGAGATCTCCGACGCAGAAGGATCACCGAATGAGCCCGAAACAGTCCAAACTTGTTTGTTCGATTCCGCCTGAGTGCAAAGATTCGAAAGGGATCAAGCGGGTGTCCACATCGTAAGGTGGCAAAGAAGCATGACCTGAGGCCCCGCACGCCACGACGCTGCTCCCGGCGCCGGCCAAAGATCGAGCTCTCGCCGGTCACGGTCAACATGGTTTCAGAGATTGGGGTTGGCGGTGTTCATTGCGTGCAATGTTGGGTTCGAAGTTGCTGAGATCAGCATGAGTGATAAGAACCTGATCGACGGGGTTGTGCTTCGAGTTCATGGGCACTCGACAATACATATTCTTGGATTGGGAAGAGGGCCGCCCGGACTCCTCGACCAGTGCTTTTTGCATCTTGTCACTCTTTATCTCCGTGGCCCTTCGGCCGACAGCCACGCCAGGTGGCCGAGCCCGGTGAGACGCCGTACTTGGAGCGAGGGCAAGGCGGTCAAAGAAATCTGCACGGTTAGAAGGATAGGCACGCGCAGCACAGACAGCTGCCATTCTCCTGACAAGGGGGCGGCCTGTCGGGTGGTCGCAGCCGCAGCGATGCGGTTCCGCAGATCAGCATCCAGTGGCTTCAGTGACTTGAGCGGCTTTGAAAATTTGGAGGTACATAGGTCTCTGGTGGTTCCAAGGTTCTCTGAACGACAGAGGGAGCTACAGCAGCTGGGCGTTGTTGAGAGTGACAACAGTGACAACCGCAAGGTGCTCTCCAGCGGCTCTGCAAGAAAAAGCGGAGGATGCTTCAGCCTGGACCTGAGCGAACATCCTGCGCACTTGTGAAGTCATTGTAAGCTCGGAACAGGTCGATCACATCACTCTGACTGGATAGGGTTCCTGTGGATAGGGTTCCTGAGGAACAGACTCGAAGAGCAATGGACTCATCCCCTAGGCCGCCGCGGTGCGACGAACGCGGCGACCGCGACGGCAGCGCGGCCCTCTCCGCGCCGGTGCCGGGGGCTGCAGGGCTCAGTGGGAATTGAGATCTTCCAGGGATTCTGTCTATTGTATCTTATCTTTGAGTTTCGGGCCCATGGCCGTAAGCTGTAGTGGGCATCAAATTATGTGCACAGGGAGATGCCGTCAGCAAGGCATAGAAAAGGTCAACGCCGCTCCTCGGTACATCCCAGCTGCTCCTGACAGGCTTTGGTTTTTTGGTAAGGCTGAGAAAGAGAGGGGGCGCGAGGGGAAGTGAGGGAAGGATGGTCCGTCTGATACTGTACGCCTGGGGATACCCCCCGAGCTGCCGTACGCAGACAAGCTCGCCTTCAACTTGTCAATCCCTCACTATCCCTCCTCGAGCCACAAATGTGGCACGTGCCGCCATCCTGCAGCTTGGGTACTGAGAAGTGGGGCAAGTCACCCGGCAAGGTCCCGCCTTCACGAAAAAAAGTCTGTTAGTCAGTGGCCCGCCCCCGGTACCCAGGCGAAGGGATCCTGTACCTATGTATCCGTTTCATAGCCACAAGATGCTTATAATGATTCTAGCTGTCAAGCTGCCCTTCCCGACTCCTACAAGTCTTCGAGGACAGGCAGATTGAAGTGTGTGGTGTAGGGCTTCTTGGCTGCTTTGCTAATTCCGTTCGAGCTGGCTGGCAGTGGCGTGACGGCGTGACCGTGTGGCAATCCTGTGCTTCGACGAGGCATCGATCTTGGCCATGAGACCCGGGCAGGTCTATTCTAGATGGGCAACGTGCTGTCACGTCACTGTAACCAGTCATGCTTGCCTCAGAACCATAATTCGCAGACTGCACGAGCATAGCTACGTCACAGGCGCAGTGGCTTGGCCTCTTGTAGCCTTGGGTTCGGTGATGTGGAAGTTTCTACGTACCTTGCGGCCTGTGTTAGTGCATGTGCCAGCAAGCAGCTTGGGCTTTCACAAGCTGTAAGAACATAGTATGGCTCCAATATTTGGCTGGGTACTGAATACTTTGGCTGGGTACTGTATAATGCTGTGCCACACATCTACAAACGGACTGAGCATGTGCAACAGTCGTTTAGTTGAGTCTCAAGTTGACGGCGAAACTTCAAGACTCCGCAGAACGAGACAGCAGCCTCAACATTCAATGGTGCAAGTAGCTACACGCCACCCTAAAGATTCCAGGGTTTGTGCCTGAGACCTGCGACTGTGTTACGACGGACACGACCTTGGAGCCACTCAGGGGTCAATGAGGTTCGCATGGATACTAGTCGGTGATATCTTTAAGAGCTCGGCAGATGTGTTTTCATCCTCTCTTGTCTTGCATTCACAAAGCTCACATATTGCCCATTCCTGCCATACAACAGCCCCCCACCCCTCCAAAGCGCTTGGCACAGCGGGCACGAGACTTCAGCTCTCAAAGCTGTAAACGGCGCAGCGGTCTGCAACAGTCGAGATTAGATGACGGCCTCTGAGCCTCTGCCTGGCTCCATCTGGTCCCTGCGGAATGACCCGTCAGCAAAGGTGATACGCACCAGCCAACAGCAGACGCAGAGCATCCACCGTGCTGACGGATCCTTCTCTTAGTAATGCCTGCAACGCAAGAAACAGCTGATCGTACAAGGTGTGCACCATTTCTGCCGAGTTTCATGGTAGTTTAGCATCTGCAATGTCCCGAGCTCAGATGTTATGTGGTAGCTGCCTGAAGGGCAGTGCATTGCAAACCGCCATACTATGTCACTATGTGGCGGCCTGGGGGCTCAAGCTGAAGGAAGAGGCAGGATTAACATAGCTCCGACACCTCGGTTTTGTCAGGACGGCCGTGCTGTCCTGGAAGTCAATTGGACACAGATTGAATGCAGAAGTAGCTTTCGTATGCCTTCGTGGTGACCTTGCAAGGTCAGTCACATGAAGCGTCTTTCAGGAAATGTCCGAGTGGCTTGATGCCTTTCGTGTTTTGCACATGGGCAGACCCTTCAGCAGAAAGCCACCGTGAGTCATGCTACCATTGCAAGCCCGCAAGATGAAGTTCAGCCCACAGGACCATGGCGGCAAGTGGAAAGGCTGCCGTGTGCAAGCCTGCAGAACTCTGGTGTTCATTTGAGGGATCTGTGCACTGCATGCAAGTGTTCCTGTTGAGCACGATTCTGTATGGCCAGTGGTCGTGTATGCGTGCATCTACTTGTGTCTCAGAATTCAGCCACCTGTTGAGACAAGAAGAGCTCAATGCATTGTGCGTTGCTGTGCATCCGAGTCAGAAGCATTGCACAGAAGCTGACTTTCTCATTGCCTTCACGGCGACAGGCACTTTCAGTGCTCTCTTGGGCCCTGCTGCTGATCGCGTCCGTAGATGCACAGAGGACCACAGCTGCGGCCTTTTGAACACTCATCGCTTGGGCCATCTGCACCTGTCCCACTCATTCAGTTGAGCTTCACATGGGTAGTGACTCGGATGACCCAGGCCTCCAAATATGAGGCTCGTGCTGTGTTTTCTTTGCTGTGTGCTACGAAGGAGCCTCTTGCAGCAACTGCATTTCACGTGTTGTGCCAGTTTTTGATGGAGAGCTTGGGCAGGGAAAGGAGCTCATGATCACCCCGAACATTCTTACCGGCATCCTCATCGGTGGGGCTCACAGAGTCGCAGCATGTCGCAGCGCAGATGTAGTTTACCTTCCCCTCCCCCCGCATGACCACCAAATCTAGCCTTCATTATCGGCCATAATTACAGGCAAAGGCGTAAACAGCTGCAACTCGATTTCGACTCGGCAGCTTGCCGTGCACCTTTCCTGGCCGGGGCTTCGGAGCTTCCAGTCCGGCCATGCCAGCTTTGGTGGGGCAGTGGTGCAACTTACGCTGTGGGCGACCCACAGGTGCCGCTGTCGAAGGTAGGAAATTGGCAGCGAGGAGCTTCGCTACAGTATATTGCCGCACTTCGAAGACATCCAAATGTGTAGTCAAGCTACAAGCAGTTAAACCTTCTTTGACAAATATGACCCAGCTGACGAATCAGGGCGTCAGGCTGCAAAAAGTGTTCACCAACATGAAAGGCTCTGCCATTCTTCTTTCTTACAGTTCCTGTGGCCTTGCGTCTGGCATGAGCTTGGTCAGGCCCAGTCATGGGGCAGCTCATAAGATCCCAAATGCTTCCAAGTCCGAGGCTCTCTGTGGATTGGGGTGTTCCTCGTCGGCTTCTGCTGCTTGTTCGCGGTGCAGACTCCGGCTGCCTTCGAGGCGTGTTCACACGACGGCAGGTGTCACACGGCAGATGTCAAAAAGGCGTTCAGTTTTGTCCTGGTGCTCAGGAGAAAGCTCTGGTGATCAACAAGAATTACTGAGGGCAAGATTGCTGGTCATGACGTGATCGTGTTGGCTATCGGCTTGCGGGAGACCTTCGGTATTGATTCAGGCTCAAGAAGTGCAGGGTCCCGGAGAGCCAGGTTGATAAGCTAGCATCAGCTCCCGACAATTGTTGAGGCTGCTCGGGGACGGGTTTCACACAGGATCGACTGGGGCAGGTGGACTCATGGAACCCAAGTCACGCCAGGACGCACTTTCACAAAAGGAACTGCTACTGTATTACTGTATTCCCTTCTCGTTTTTTGGTTTCGACTCTTGACTCAGTTCGAGCATGCGTTACAGCTTTCCAGCAGCAGGAGGTGTGTCTGAGTCCATGGTAAGTCGTTTGTGCCTGTCAGTTCCACGTGACCTGTGGCTGATCTCATCCATGCAAGTCACCCAGTAGCTGGCTGCAGCTCGGGGTACCAGCTGCTGTAGATTGCAAAGGCTCGAGCAAGAACAGCCACAGTTCCGAACCTGGAAGGGTCCGACATCGGAGCGCAGCAGGAATTATTCTGCGAAGCGTTCGCCGTCAAGTG